TGATTATGATTATGATTATGATTATGATTATGATTATGATTATGATTATGATTATGATTATTATTAATTTTACGATTATTATAACTTTTAATTTTATGATTATTATTATTATTATTATTATTATTATTATTATGTTTATTATTATTAGATTATTATTACTATTACGATTATTATTACTATTATGATTATTATTACTATTATTATTATTATTACTATTACTATTATGAATTTTATTATTATTATGTTTATTATTATTACTTTTGTTATTCCTATTCTTTATATTATTACTATTATATTGCTGATTAATGATTTTATACTGCTATTTATTATTATAAACATTATTTTTATCCTTATGTTGATTAATAATTTTTCTAAATCAGGTTTTCTTAATTTAATATATTCGTAGATTATTATAGTTGGGGTATTTTAGAAGCTGATAATAATTATTGTTTTGATGATATTTTTTATTATTGTTATATGTCTTATTATAATTTATAATTCTATTCAACGAGTTATTATTTGTTTTACTTTAAAAATACTTATTATTAAAGTTAATTTTTTTGATTTTACTCAAGATTCATAAATTATTAATTAGCAGTATTCATTGTATAAATTTAATATTTATTTTATTTTTAGATTTAATGTTAATTCTATGGATTTATTTAAGATTGTGATTATTAAGCCGGAAAAATATATTCTTGGCCAATTTAATAAGAACTATAAAAAGGAGAAGATGTTACAGATTATTATAATTATTATGATGCAAAAAAGTCTTTTTAATTTAAGACTGGATATTTCTATTAAAATTAAATTTAATTTAATATTTATTATTATTGTTATAATTGTAATTATTATTATTGTTATTATTATTTTTGTTATTATTATTGTTATTATTATTTAAAAACATCAGAATTAAAATGGTCTTATTATATATATTATTAGAATTATTAAGGGTTAATTTAATAAGTAAAAACTTATCCAGGTATAACTTTTGGTACAGAATATATAATTTATTAATCTTATTATAATTATATCTACTATTATTATTATTATTATTATTTTATTATAAAGTTAAATCTTAAATATTAAATTATTATTATTATTATTATTATTATTATTATTATTCATTATTATTTTATTATTCTATTTTAACTGGTGTTATAGTTTACTGAAAACTTTTTATTATATTTTAACTATTTGGTGTATTTTATATTTCAGATTCTATTTATATGTTATTATTATTTTAATTTATTTATTATTCATTTACATTATTTAATTTCAATTAAAGATGATCATATTTTTTTTTTTTATATTATTATTTGTTGAATTATTTATATTAGGTTTATTATTAGATTTATTTTTCTTTTTTTGTGGTGATATTTATTATTCTTTTACCTATTGTATTTAAATTTAATTTTACATTTGTTCCATTTTTTGGGTAATTTCTTAATTTTCTTTCGTCTATTAAAATTACTATTACTCTTTATTTAATTAAAATGTTGAATTATTTACATTATTTGTGTTCATCTTCATTTAGTTACTTAGTATTGAATCCTTTGGCATACTAAATTATCCATAAGGAATATTATTTGGAGTTTTGAATTCTCCTGTTCCACATGTTAAAAAAGGTTGTTTTGCACTTAAAAGATTATTTTAATATTATTGTAATTCATCCTTTTCTTTAAAAGAAATGCTGCTTGAAGGAAAGAAGAAATTAGTTGGGTAAGGCATTGGGCTCTACTAAATACTGAATTCTAGATTCTAATCTAAGCATTAGCTTGGAGTAATTTTATATGGAGTATTTGGTATATTTTCTAAGCTTAGAAAATATTAGAAATTTTAATATGTATTTTTTTAAACTGTGGGAATTCCGTATTATTGATATATATTTGGGGATTTAGATGGGTCCATATAAGTTGTGTTTTTTATATAATTTATTTTAATCAGCTATTTATTTTGAATTGTTAATTGAGGGTTTATTTTAATTCTTTTTGTTTTAAGAATTGATGATTTTTTGCCTGTTTTTTTTTATTATTATTATTTTTTTTTTCCTTAATTATTTTTTTATTCCTTTGTTTCTTTTTTAATTTAATTATATATGTATAGTTTATTATAAATTATTTAATATTATGATGATAATTTAATAAGATAAATTTAAAAGATGGTATTAAATACAGAAAAATAAAACATATAAATAATCTTCTTTTATAAATATAAACAAAGGAAGTATAATTATTATATAATATTTAAATAAAATAAAATAAAATAATCATTAAAATTAATTTTTTAATTAAATTTAGGGGGGGGGGTATTATTTTAATTTTTTTAAGAACTTAATTAAAAAATATTATAATGATTTTGATTATATGAATATTTATAATATCATAGATTTATAAAATTAATAATATTTGTAAATTTCTCATTTTTTTTTTTTATTACTTTTTAATTATAAATATTTTTCCTATATCATTTTATTACATATTTAATTTTAATATTTATAGTTTAATTATTTCTATTATTAAATTTAAATCATAATAATATAAATTTCATTATTAAAAATTATTTAAATTTAGATTTCCTTATTTTTGTATTTTTTAACATTTTTGAACTAACATTTTATTTATTTATTTAATACAATACTTATAAAAATTAATTTTTATTAAAATTTTGTTATATCTAATATGAAATATATAATAGAGTTTTATGAAAGTATAACATAGTAGTTATTTAAAAATAAAGATAGCTTACATGATATTATATTAAATTAATCTTGTACTTAACAAACAATATATACTGAGTATTATTATTTTTAAAATATTGTGTTATTATTTTAACTATTTCATAGATTCATAGAAAAATTATCAATAAACTATAAATTAAATTATTTATATTTCATTATTTTATTTTTTAAAATTTATAGTAATTTTTATAATATTATTTTAATTATTTAAAAAATAAAATTGATATATTATTGTAATTAAAAGAACATCATTTTATTATATTAAATTTAGATTTACAAAAAACCAATGCAAAATAATTAAAATGAATCCTTATTATATTAAATATAATTTTTGAGAATATTTAATAAAAATTAAATTAAATAATATTTTCTTAAAAAAAAAAAAATGGTTTTAATTATCCATCTTTTATTCTTTTGTATCTTAAAATAAAAACTGTATGTAATAAAGAAATATAAAAATGATAATCTAATTTACATAAATATATATAAATAAAAATAAATTGAAATATATAATTAAATAAAATAAAAAAAATAAAAATATAAAATTTATATAAACAAAAAAAAAATGCAAGCATAAAAAAAGTCTCTAACAATAATTGGCATGGGAATATCTGGTTTAGGTTGTGCTTATAAATTAATATCTCAGAATATTCCTATAACATTAAACCTTCTTGAAAAATCTAAAAAAATAGGAGGTCGTGCCACTACGAGTTCTCGAATGAATTACACATATGACTATGGTGCAAACTATTTCACTTTTGAAGCATTAGAGAATCCCGAAGAAATGAAAAAATTAATAAAATAGTCATTATATAATCCCTCATTAATACAAATAAAAAAAGATGTATATACATTTACAAAGGACAATTAAATAAAATACGATTAATAACATTAAGCAGAAAAATACACATATAAAAATGGTATTATGTATTTATCAGAAATTCTAAAAAACCAATTAAAAAATGAATCAATTTAATTTGAATATAAAGTCGAAAAATTGGAATATGATTTGACTTAAAAAATGTGGAAAATAACAGATTCTGAAAATAAAAAACCCTTTTTTTCGAATTATATTTTATTAACCTTCCCTGCCCCTTAAATTGTATAATTATTCGAAAAAAGCTAATACGAAAAAAAACAATAACTCATAAATATATTCTCGAAATGTGAATACTCAAAATGTATTTGTTTAATTATAGCTCTAAATAAAAAATAATTCCCTCAGAAGATTACTTTGCTCTTCTTAACATTGACAGAGAACATGATGTTTCTTGGGTTTCAATAGAAGATGATAAAGAAGGACATGTTCCAGAATAAAAATCTATGTTAATAGTACAAATGAGTGATAATTTCAGTAGTTAATACTATGAAGAGAAATAAGATGAATTAATTAAGGAAAAAGCATCTTTTTCATTAAGAAAATTAATTTAATATATTGATTTTGAAGATAATGCATTTGTTTGGGTTAGAAAATGGAGATTTGCTTTACCGAAATAGAAAATAGAATTTTAAGATATATAATAATTTTAATAAGATGGAATATTCTTTGCAGGTGATTTTTTAATTGGAAAAGGAAGAGTTCTGTTGAGTTTAGAAAAAGGATTATAAGTTGCTGATTAAATATAAAGTTTTTAGGCTAAAATATGATTTTTATATATTTATTAATTTTTAATCATTATAATTATAAAATTTCTATTAAACGATTATATTTAATAATTCTTTCCATTTTTAAAGGTGGAGCTAAATTAATCCATGCATTTTTTAATCCAAACTTTATTTTTTTTAAAAAAAATATTATTAAATAAAAAAAATATATTAAAAAAATATATTAAAAAAAAAATATATAAATAAATATAATTTTTATATATATATATATAAATATATATATATATATATATATTAGATTTATACATATGTATATATATTTATAAATATTTTTTACTGCTAAATCTATTAAAGATATATCATCAAATTCTTCAAAGTTATCTTAAATAATAATTGCAGTACTTTTTTTCTTTATTATTATATTTAATAAATATTTATTATATTATATGTTTTTTAATATTTATTATCAATTATTTTTATACATATAAATTATTAAATAATAGAATATTTTTTTTTTATATTCATTTTTTTTATTTATATATTTATTTTATAAAATCTAAATTACAAATAAAATAAAAACATTTTTTAAGCAAATTATATATAAAAAATTATACTTTATCATTAGCAAGTTTAGCTATTTCTAAAAATTCAGACAATGTTGCAAAATCAAACGGTCTATAATGACAGCAATCTAAGTCAAATTTTTTTGCGTTTAAATCAATAATTTATTATTAGTTTAAATCTTTTTTTTATAAATTTTTTTAAAATACTTTATTATATTAACCTGGTTTGCTATCTTTATCTTCTATTATACTTATTTATTTTATATTTTAAACAGAACTATATAAAAAACTACTAGAAATATAAACATTTTTTTCTGCAAATTTATTCTTATTTAATAAAACAAAATGAAAAATAAAAATAAAATTAATATTTAAATATACTTTTAATTTCAACCAACCGTCTAAATCATCACTTTTGATAGGATCTTCTATATATCCAATAATAGGTTTATCATTGCATAATTTAAAGTAATAATCAATCTTTTAAAATTAAAAATTTTTCTTATATTAAAAACATATTTATATACTAATTAATTAACATCTAATAATTATTTAGGATTTTCCATTTCATAAGCTTTTTTATCTTCTAAGAAGAGATTATTAGCCATAAAATTAATACCAATCTTTATATTATCCTTATAATTAGTTTTATTTATAGCTTCTTCTATTATTTTTATATTATCTGCAATTGTATCAACTGTACAAATAAAAGTGCCATCTCCATAGTATTTTAAGGCTGCTTCTCCTCCTTTTCCACTACAAATTATTTTTTTTATATTTTAAGTAATTTAAAAACATATATCGAATAATTATTTTGGATTTTCATATTTTTCAATTAAAAGTAAAAATTTAAACACTTTGCATTTTGATCCTACTAATTTACTTCCTTAAAGTAAATTTATTAATATTTTCGGATTTTAAATATTTTATTCATTTGAATTTGTTAATTATTATATTATTTCATACTCTTGTTTTTATTATACTTTTGCTAATGTTTGTGGAATACTAAAAGATATTGTTTATACTGCATTTATACATGACTTATTTTATTTTATATATATTTAAAAAATATAAAAAATACCTTATTTAATTCTAGATAAATTTTTTATAAAACTTCATCTATTTAATCTTATTCTTGACAATTTTTTCCTTTTAACAAAGGAGATATTTTACTATTTTATTTTTTATTTTTTTAATAAATATTTAATATTTTTTAAAATACTTATTAATTAATGAAATTGCGTTTTAAAGCCCTTTTCCATCTTCATCACTTTTTTAGTTTTAAATTAAAAAATAAAATATTTATAATTCTTATATATATTATATATTAATATATAATAAATACAATAATGGCTATATTTTTTCATTAGAAATACCAAAGCAAAAGGGCGTTATTATTTCATAATCTTATTGTTTATATTCAACAGTATATTTTAGCTTATTTTTTTATATTCACAAAAAAAAAACAAAAAATTAAAATAATTTAATTTTCAAATAATACTTTTATAATAGGAAGATAATTAAGGTTGGCTACTTCGTATGCAAATATATCTTTAATTTAAACAAAGTCTTATGCAAACTAAATATATTTGATTTTAATAAAATAATTATTTTTTTTAATTTAAAAAATCCTACTTAAGCAAATTGATTCATCATATAAGCATAAGGATCAGTATATTTACCTTTAAGTAAATTGTTAACTACATTAGTTATTTTTTGTTCTAACTATTTTTAATTTTAAATCATATTAGATATAACAAAAAAATAAAAACCTAAAATTTTTATATATAATCTTTTAGTTCTTAACTTATTCCGTTTGACATTAAAATATTTATAGGAAATAAATAAAAAATTTATAGTTTATAGTTTATATAATATATATATATATATTTTATTTCAATTAAAAAAAATATTTAAATAAAAAAATGAATTTATATAAAATAAAGTGTTAATTTATTATTAATTTTTTAATGAATTCTAATTATTATTTTAAAATAGTTTTTTATATAAACTAAATTTAAATTAGTTAGACATTTAAAATATAATCAGAGAAAAGTTCAAAAAATAATTTAAATCATATTTTTTATACTTCAAAGAATAAATAACTAAAGTTAATAACATTATAATAAAATAAATCAGAAAATTAAAATATCAAATATTAAATATCTATCAAAGTTATTTTTCAGTATGAATTAAACAATAAAAAACTTAATTTTTATATATAAAAAAACTTAGTTATATTAATAGTAAATTACTTACAAATATCCTCTATTACTAAAGAAGTATTAATAAACAAGAATTTTTAAAAAGGTTGTAATTAACAATATTTGTATTAGTTAAAGGTCGGTGTACTTAACATATAGATAATTTTTATTAAGAATAGGTAATATATTAGATTATATTACTTTATATAAATATTATTAACAATATAAAAATATGTCAATATATTTTATTTAATTATGTAAAATTTTGAAATTCTAAAAAAGAAAAAAATCAAATTTTAATATTAAAATAAAACAAATATGTTTAGTTAAAAAATTAAAACTTAAAATTCTGAAGAAAGAAGATTCAAAATAGAATAAGCTAATTAGACTTTTTTGAAAATAAATTAATATATGTTTTAGTATTAAATGTAAGGATTTGATAATTAATTAATAAGAATAATTTTTTTGTTTAAATTAACAAGGAATGATGATAAAAATAAAACAAAATATGAATCAAAATTATAAAATAGAAAAAAAATCAAAATTTTAAAATAAAGAAGTAGCTTAAAAAAATAATAAATATTTGAAAGGAATTATAAAAATTATTAAATTAAGCAATTAATTAAAAGGATTAAATAAATATAATATAAAAATCAAAATAAATAATTATTTATATAATATTTTAAATATATTAATATCACATATAACCAATTTTAATAAATTCAGATACAAAAAAATAATTATTTTTTAAACTATTTTTATTTTATTTTTTTGTAACAAAAATAAATATATGATTTGCTTCAAATAATTATTTTTTTTTAATAGAATTTATAAGATGATAAATTTACAAAAAATAATAAGATTTTTAGAATAATAATTTATAAAAGATAATAAATTATATATTTAAAAAGAAACTTATAATAATTTAAATTTATAATCATTTTTTTTAAAAAATATAATATGAATCAAATAATTTAATAAAATGGGAATTTAATTTATAATAATTTTAAATTAATCAAATTAGAATACAAAATACAGGGAAAACACCTTATATACTAAAGGTCTTTATTATAATAAAAATCAATAAGTTAAGTCAATAGTATTAAAGTGGGAACTAAAGTAAAAACCCAGAAATAAATAATATATATTATTTTAGAATAAAAAGCATAATAATAGTGAGAAGTTGGTGACCATCCCTATAAACTGATTGGAACATTAGAATTGACCGAAATTCCTGACCAATTTCAGGTTTCATATATGGTGTTCTTAACTATATAAAAACTCCCGAGGATTTGCCGGTAAAAGTCACAATACTTATCTAAAATCAGTCCTTATGGCTGATGGAATTTTGAAGAGTTTTGGTACATTGGGAAAATATAAAGAGTACTTAAGTAAAAATATCTTAGTATACCCTTAAAAAATATCTTAGGATAAAAAAGAAAAATAATAATATAAAATATTTATGCCATCAAAAAGTATGAACTCATATCTATAAATCTCATTCTTGAATTTTGTTTATTTTAAAAAGTATAGAAAAATATTTTTTTAAATATACATGGAAGCATAAATAGTGTAACTGGAGTAAAGAGTTATATTAAAACATTAATATTGTGCAAATATCATATATGTATCCTAAAATAAATTTATTGGGAAACTTATAGATAATCTAAAAAAATAGATATTAAATACACATAAAAACTTGTATTGAAATTATAAATACATATTATCTTAATTTTTAAAAGAGAGTGTATTTTATAAAAATCATAATATGTTTTCGGAAAATTGAGGAAAATTGAAGAATTCTCTTTTAAAAAAATTATTTTCATTAAGAATTTTAGATAGAAAAATACTAAAATATGCCACTATTAAGAATTAAAGAAAATTTGTAAAACCTACATAATAATAATAAAAAAAAAAAGTAATATTAAATAAAAAATTAAGGAAAAATTAAATAAAAAAATAAAAAATAAATTCCTTTAATATATACATTAGCCATAGTAATTCAATAGAAGTCTTTGAATAAAATCATAAAATTAAAATAATACAAAGAAGTGTATTTATTAAACTGAATTTAATATGATTTTATATATAATAAAAATGTTACATTATAGGATTTAATTTTTGAATTATCATAAATAATTATATGTTTTTGTTTGAATTAAAAAAATAAATAACTATAAAAATTTTAATAATTTTTTTAGTTTAAAAATAATTTTTTTTTTTTTTTTTTTAATAATTTTTTTTAGTTTTAAATTGAAAATCAAATAATTTTGTTTTTAAATAAAAATAATTCTATTTCCAATTTTTTTTTTATATATATTTTTTTGAATGCTTAATTAAGCCTGTATAGCATGTATAAATAAAAATAAATTTTATGTAAAATCTAAAATTTATACTATATATTTATGATTTTCCATAAATTCTATTAATTTTTTTTTTTTTAAATTAAATATAAAAAACAAATATTAAATTAAAAAATAATTTAAATACATTAATAAAAAAAAAAATATAAGATTTTTGATTTTAAAATGAGGAAATTTCAAAAAAATTAAATATATAATGAAAATTATATTAAAAATTATTATTAAATATAATTTAAATAAATAATAAATTAATATTCGAAATAATATTAGTTTTTTTAAAAAAATAATAATAACACACTTAAAAAAACAAATAAATATCATAAAATTATATTTATTTTTTATACATAAAAATTTATATCGATCTAAATATTTAATTATTGAAATTTTACGTTTTTAAATCTTTATTAATATCTAATTAACTTTAAATAAAAATTTAAAATAAAAATTATTTAATATTATAAATATTAATTATTAATTAATCATTATAAAAATTATTAACAAATATTTCTAAAATATTAAATTTATATGTAAAAATGTATTTATTATTAATAATTTTTTTTGTATTTTTATAAATTAAATTATAATTTTTTAATTTGCATTAATATATATTGATAATATAATATATATATATATATATATATATATATATATTATATATATGTATATTAATTTATTTGTCATTATTT